TTGACTAGAGATGAACTAACTGGCTGGTGACCAGAGCAGCTGATCAGCCTCAAATATATCCAGTTCTGTAGCTTCACATTCAGTCTTTTTAGAATGATTTTACATAATGTAAACAGGAGGGAGGGAAAAAATACTACACACTAGTTTAAAAGCAGGAAAACACAGGAAACGGTCAAAACACAACTCAATATTCAGGATTAAACTAAATGCTGTTCTACTTATCATGTAGTTGAAATAATAACCAACTCATATTGCACATTTGGAATGGTGACTTCACGGCGGTCATCTTTTGTACAGGCTATGATTGACACAGGATTTGTTTCATTAAGTAGTGATCTCTTTTTTTACAACTGTCTGTCCTTGAAGTCCAAACAGTAAGAGCTGACTTTACAAACTTGATCCAAGAAAGAGGAGATCGATGGTTTTCAGAGGCTGAAGAAGACTCGTCACTATAAGAAAGATGAATTTTGAGAAGAATTTGTTTCCCTGTCAATGCAGATTTTTACTACTTTGATATATTAATTATATACCAGAGCTGTTAATAAACGGATAGAAGCCCAGAGACTATGGCTCAAACGACGTCATGACTTTTTAAACTCAAGCCGCTTATTCAAACCCTGCAATGTGTTTATTTTACTTGAAAAAAAATTATAGAACTCACCCTTTCCCGGCTCCCACTGACACCACCTGCATGTTCAAGCCCCCTCTCCCACGGACTGGTTTGTTGCCAGCCCACTGACCAACCACCATGCCAGCGATCTCCAGTTTCCCTCCCTGAGGGGGGATGGACTGAATGCCTGAAAGAAAAGATTGCAAAGTCACTACACACCAACTCCCTGTGTTCCTGTTTATATTCCATATTATCTTAATAGGACATAAACGGCGTATTTATCTATATTCTACCATGTTTTGTCACCTAGTAGATAACCAAACACACAGTTTTATACCAACAAGAAACTGTACAACATTAGTCTGGAGTCAGAAACATTTTCTTGTATCAATTAAATGTAACTGCATTACATACAAGACAACTTTCTGTTCAATCTGTAAAAGGAAATCTATTCTGCTTCATACTGAGGTCAGTGGATATTCAACGACTACTTGAGTCATACAAATCTCAGTTTTCCGACTGCTCCAAATGCTCAAAAAGTATTTTCCTGCTTTGTAACTCACAGAGTGGATATTTATAATATGGTCAGCTCAGAGCTCAAATGTTTTGTTTGCAACGTGTACAATCAGAAAAAAAGTTGCTTAAAAGAAGTGGGAAAAGAGCTAAAACTACTTGTTTCAAACAGTGGATGAACTGTGGCATACCTGGGAAGCCTCGGGGTCTGTGCTGGGCTGGGTGGTGTGGATGATGTGGGTGATGCGGGGGCATGCCGCCCATGGGACGGGGTGGGTAGAGAGGAGGCATGGGGTAGAAAGGGGGCATCATGGCAGGGGGAAGGAAGGCAGGAGGTGGAAGAGGTGGTGGTGGAGGAGGAGGGCGAGACAGGTTAATGCCCTCGAGGATCGCCTGGCGCATCTTCTCGACCTTGGACACCAGCTCTTCCTGCAGAGAAGAAAGAATTACGGCTGTTAATACGCGACAGATACAGAGTAGATCCCACTTTCTCTTTAACTGTCACTTTTATTATCCATAAAACTGGAGTGGACATATTGATGTATGGAAAAATAATAATAATAAAAAATAATAATAAAAATAAGTGTTTCTCTCTGATGGCGACTCAGTGCTGCGTTTTTCCTCCCACGCCAATAGTGTAACTCCATACATATAGATATCTATTAACTTATCTTCCTCCAATCTCTTATGTATGCACCTATGTGGGTCAGGACGTAGTTAGCTGTACTCTCACAGTTCTGGATGTAGCATGCACCACACTCATTAACCCCCCCAAATCTATCCTGCTTATTTTAACTTGTCCTGTTTCCGAGGCTGCATGTCTGCATTCTGTCTTATTGAAGTTCTATTTTTGCAAAAAGTTAAATATAAATATATTCTTGCCATACGGTAAGTCACTTTATTAAAAAGGTTTAATAACATATGAAACACAGCACAAGCCCATTTTAGCCCATGTGATACCGTCACAATGATTTCAAACACAATTTTTATTCATTTTCAATCTGCTGTCATTTCAGCTGTGAGGATGAATAAAGCTTTTTTCTGAAGCTCTTTATCACAGGTCTGTGTGCTTCCTCCTGTACTCATTTTTCATTCTGTTCTTTTAATGTCTACTTTAAAATTTGGCCATGGGATAACAGCTGGAAACTTTGTTAACACACACATTCAGAGACATGGCGACTCATTTGCACTTCTCCTGATAAAGTGAACTGAGCAGCCAGCCTCCACCACGGCCACTGATAATTTTTTTTATTAATTTAGCTGTTTTAGCATGCTGAAACATCGCTGCCCTAGCAAGCTAGCAACAGAAATATAAAGTTAAACTGATCAGTGATATTCTATTAATGTAAATTAACAGTACCCTACAGGAACTAATGCGTTAATAAGGCACGTTTTGTATCACGGCTGGGTAAGCTGATACTGTGTGTTTATTTTGGGAGTTTTAAAGGCTTCGTTTGACTGGAACGGCACAGGAACACTGGAATGGACCTGAGCTCAGAGCGCTGCGGTAAGCATCAGGCCCATGGGCTGCCAGATGAGCTCCTATATGAAGTACACCAAGGCTCTTAAATAAAGCTAATATTTGCACGACCACAGTCATTAAAATGGTCTCAATTTTGACTTGTCTCAATGTCTTATTTGTTTCTATCCCAATGAAAGTCGCCAAGAAAATTTGTGGTTTATATTTTTTTGAATGTTTTTTTGGTGCTTTTAGGTCAAAGGCAGTGTAGAGCAGATGGCCTGAGGGTGGAGTTGATCAACCATCCCAGTACATGCAGCGTGCTCCAATCATTTACAATTGTTACGTTTTTGTGTTATTGTTGGGGAAAAAAAAAAATAGGACAATTACAATATGTAACAAATTTAAAAAATATATTTAGAAGGCAGCTGACTTAATCTTTTTTTGACTCCTAGTTTTTCTTGTCCAACATCCCATTTTATTCACCTCTGCGCACTCCCATCTTCTATAGTTATTGGTTTGTGCCGTGTATTTATTTCAAACAGCTGTTAGCTTGTGTTTTTATAAGCTGTATTGGTGTGTCCAACTTAAATGGGCAGAGTAACCGTAAATCATTTTGAATCAATATTACACTTCAAGTCTTAAAACAAAAGAAAATATGAACTTCCCCATCCTGCTCTTTAAAATAACCTTTACAAATTTCTTAAATTGTGGGGGAAGGTGGAAAAAGTCCATTTTTAAAGGCATTTACACACAGAGCTGTATGATGACTGGACTATAATTCACCCCCCAACAGGGATTTTGGGACATGAAAGACAAACGATGGTCACACTCAGCCCTGCGATGCTCTGCTTCGTACCTGCCCCTCACACATGTCCAGCAGGGCGGCTCGGTCGCGGGCGGCTCGGGCCAGTTTGCTCTGGAACAGTTTGCCGTCGAAGAAGCCCCAGGGGCAGCAGTGTTCCCACGGCAACGGCTGACCGCAGACATCGTTGATAAACAGCGCCGTATCGACACCGGCCATAAAGAGAGCAGCCAGCTGCACGCCGCGAGCATCCACCTTCTCCACCTGACAGCCAACACACAGATGAAAAATGACAGCATTTAAGAGGTGGGAACAGAAACGAGGCGCTGAAGAGCTGCGAGGTCTCTGCGACACGCACGGAGGAGACTCTTCTCAGAGACTTTAGCTTATCGGGGATTTTACTGACTCTACGGAGTTTCATAAAGGCGCCTACACACTGCGCTCTCTGGAGGTTCACTGCCACCCACATCACAGCTGATGCATGTATGATGATAATCAATACCTACTCAGGGCCAAGAAGCACATCGCCACTATTCATTTTCACGCTACTTCCTCCTTGGCTCGGTCGATGATACATCATTCAAACAAAGCTTCTGTTAAAACTGAACTAAATTTTCCTTCCACAGTTGAATCTTAACTTTTTTCGAGGTTTTTTTACCGCCACCTTTTCTGTTTGGGTTTATTTTGTTGTTTTCACATTTAATGGTGCATGATTGTGCATTTTGGCTTCTTGTGGATCTCCTGTTTTTTTATAACCTGCTTCACATAGTACAGCCAGGATTTCAAAAGAAAATTTGAAAAACGTGGCAATGACTTCACTGAGTTCGTTCTGATTTTTTTTGTAGTTTTCTGGAATTAACTTCTGGAGTTGTGACACACATCCTTAAGGAGAAACACGGAGCATGTCGAGGATGCATCAACCATGACCGTGGCATGAAAACCTACGCAAAAGCGGGAGTGTTTGCAGTCAGCTGGCAGTTTGGGTACTTCGCGTCCACCTGCAATGAGCTCCTTCGCCAATGGAAGTGGAGTATAAAGTATGTGATACAACCAGTCTGTGGGATACTCTTGATTCGTTGGTCCGAGCCAGCCGTGAAGAAAGGCGAAGTTATAACAAAAAGAGCGGAAGTGAAAACGAGTGTCCATTAGAGCCGCAGCCTGTTCTTTTCATGCTGTATTTTTCATTTTTGGTGGGGTTTTTTTCTTTTTTTTGCAGTTCTCCTATTTCTAGTGAACTCTGCTGTCACTCCCTCCCTTATTTCAGTCCACTTGTCAACCGGTAAACATTCTGCAAACGCATTCCCCATCCAATTCCAGCGACATGGAGTCGGCATCTGAGGTGTGTGAAAACCCATCTCCACTCACCATTCAAATGGAAACATATGAGAAGACAATAAATTACACTTTAACATGCCATTACATTCTTCCCTTATTAACCAAACTGCCTCCGAGGGAAAGGATGTTTTATTTTTCAGCACTTCAGTTTTCTCAAACAGCAGCAAGACATATAATTTACACCACAAAGCAAGAAAAATAAGTGCAGGAACAACTCTTATTAATGATTATTCCCTGAAAGGAGGGGACTCTCACCTTCAGCTCCTGTAGCTGGTCAGGCTCATAGAGCTGGCTGGAAACAGCTTGGGCCAGGAAGGCATCGAGCTCATGTCTCTGGAGGATCCTTCCTCCAGGCCACTGCATCATATACCTGAAAGAACAATAATTAATTCAAACAGTGCCCTGGAAGTTTTCAGTTTTAATAAGCAACAACAGAAGCAGAAACTGTAGTTTTCTTTCATTCTTCAGGGAATATGACATAACAGTTCTCAGAGACACACACTTATATTTAAATCAAAAGGATGACTCGAGTGCAGATTTCGATGAAAAAAAGAACAATAAAAAAGATTAACTTCAGCATCACTCTTACACTCTTCTTACATGACTGGAGTGGAAAATCTTTAAATCAGCTTTTATTACTTATTGTATGAACAAAAATGATTTCTTGCAACACAAATTGTGACAAACAAAAGCAATTATATTCATTTTAGGTGATATCGAACAGTCGAACGCTGATGTGCTTTTTCAACATGTACGCAATGAGGAAGTGAAACTGGGAGTCTTGGGCTAACACACGCAGCATTAACCTGCATGTTTCTGAGAAACCGGAGCTCCCAGGCAAAAGCCAGAACAAGCCCAGAGACATCCTGCACCATTACATAAATCAATCCTAGGCAAGGCATACATTCAGTGCCAGTAAGCTGTTCCAGCTCATGTCTGAAATGCAAAAGTGAATTTTCATCTCGTTATTTGTTAATTTCTCAAGTGTGCCTGTTGTAAATGTTCCTTCCTGCTGTCACTTTGTCTGCATCAACAAGGCTGAAGCTTCCCTTCATGTTTCACTCGTGAAAAACAAAGCAGCAACTATTACCTCTCTGATGAATTAAAACGTAGTTACATTTAACTGTAAAGCATTTAAATACCCACACAAATCAAAAATAATCAGCACGTTGTTTAGTTTGTCTCCAGAAAAAGAAAGCAGGGCAATCTTGTGTAGGATTTATGCTGAGTTACTGGCTCCATTGTATGAACAGACATGTCATTTTCTGTCAACCTACTGATGAGCCTTTTTCACAGAAGACATCCTGACATGTCACAGTAAGAAAAGCACTGCTATAAATAATAACGCGACTGTTGAACTGCAATTAGAGTCCTGGTGTTGGGAGTGCTGGCTCACCACAGCGCTGATGGGGTTTAATGGGAGAGCAGACAAAGTTTTTGTTAATGGTATTACACGTGTCTTTCCTGCTGTAGTTAGTGGAAATGTCGGTCTTTTTAATTTTTAACTATTTGTTATAATCTACTTTAATAACAAGCAGACAGGAGGATACTTCTAAGGCTGTAATCCACGTCTCCAGCTGGTTTATCAACAAGTGAAACCAGATTCAAGCAGTGTGTATTTATTTTATTCTTGTAACGCGTGACCCTGAGCAAAGGTTGCTCTGACCTGAGTTTTTGGGCAGAATTGCTCCGTAAATACAGCCACGAATGAGGACTGAGAGGAGACAGGAGATCGGCAATAAGAGAACATGACAAGAACAAGACACGTGCTGGAGCGCCACAGTTCACGGCCTTGTTTGCAGAAGACATTCTGGCTTTAACAGGTATAATTATGACATCGAACTGAGTGACATTTATCGTTGTGAGCTTCCTGTTCTGTGGTAACCTCTATGCTGACTCACTGTTTGACAGGAGCAGAGCCATCGTTATCATAACGGACATCACGTGTGACAAAACTACTACAAACAGTAAGGTGTCAGTTTAAACTGAGTAAATTTAGCATTTGATGAACTGGATAAACATAAATACTACAAACAAATATAAATGGCATACACCTGCTCCTGCTCAAGTCTAGGATATTACTGTTATTACTGAACAATGGCCAAAAAGAGTAAATCTTAAGGAAACCAGCAGGGGTTTTTAAGCTTCAAGAGAAGGTTTTCTTAAGACAGGGCTCTAGACTAACTTTTTGCCATGGGCGCACCGGTGAGAATGAAACAGAAAAACATGAAGGAGATTTTTCTGGCCTGGCTTTTTATAGCAGATAACCTTAAAAATATTCTGCAATATTCTGCAGTTTTGCATAATTTTAAAAAGTTTAAATTTCTTCAGTATTGAACAGCAGAAATTTGGCTTTCTTGTCCGAGGTCATTTAAGTGAAAAAAAAAAGAAAAGAAAAAGACAGCAGCCGACAGCGCTGTAAACAACGGTAGACTGGTGGGTAATAAGCGAATGAATAATGCAGAAAACAGATTTGAGAAGGGAAACTGTTCTTGAAGTACAGAGAGAGATAGAGAGAGCTAGCTGTGCATGAAGTGTGATTTTTATCGTGGTGGAAGCAAAACAGCAAAAGACAGAGGGAATTCATGACGACATTGATCAAATGTAAACACAGAGCGGACCCGACGCATCAGATTCGCTGAGCTCCGACAGCGTGTCCATGTACGGACCGTCGGGTGAGAAAGCCGAGAAAGACAAAGCTGATTCTGATGCGTCGGGTCTGTGTTTACGTCTTCGTGTGGAATCCGTGTACCTGCTCTCATTTGCTGTTTGGTGATTTTTAAATAGTTTTGTGAGCTTTAATCTGAGAATCTGGCGTTTCTGGCAAAACACAGTCCACACCTGGACTTTCAACTGGACCACAGCCAATCAGAGAGGTCCCGCCCCTGACCATCTCCGATTGGTTTAGTCCACAATTTTATTTTTTTTAGTCGCACCACTGAAAAATTTGGTTCGCAAGAGTTAAGTCTTGCGAAATGTGTTTTATGTATCACCATTATCACTAAACAATAGTGCCTCTGGGAAAATTCAGGAGAAAAATGTAAATACTTTGAATTACCTATGACATCAGCCTAAAAAAACTGTTTCATTGTAACAAAGGCAGAAGTAACATTGGATCAATTCTCAAGCAGGGAGAGGAAAAAAGAAAAAATAAAGACACAAGGTCTGTTTTTATTTTCTTTTTTTTAACTATTTGACCAGATTCCTTGACATGTTTTAAAGTAACTACCTACAGGAATTGTCAAGATGCCTGCTGAGTGCCAAAACTTGCTTCTAAAAGGATTGGCTGTTTGGTTATACCCAATAATGCACATATTTTGCTCTGTCACCTTTATACACGGCAGTATTTGCAACAGAAAACATATTTGGATATTCCACCCTCCAAAAAAACCCTATTTGCCAAATTTAGATTTGCACCCAGCAAAGCGTTTTAAAATCCCTATAACTGATGATACCTGAGCACGCAGCACATGAGCAGCAGATGCTGTGGGACCTGTGCTGGGTTGAGGAGGGCTGGGCAGTCTGAGCGTAGGCAGGCCAGGAAGGCCCTGGTTCTCCTGGAGCGGTCCTCGCTGGCACGACCTAACCAGAGCCGCCGGAGGTTGGGGCAGGTCCACTCACGGAAACACAAGGCGGGAACCAGCTCTGGTGTTAGGGCCGACTTGGCCTTACCGCTGCTCCACTCTTTGATAATCACTGGAGGAACTGCAACACAGAAACAAGTGCTGGAATAATAAGATACATACGGCGGCGTTGCTTATGATGCAGATGCCTCAGTTTTGGAGATTTCCGAAGCTGCTAAAGATGAGAGCATGTAGAGGTTTGAGCTGTTTCACACATAGAGATTCTGCCAGTGCTGTGAAATTGGAATATTTAGTGAAGAGACCTTGAGCTGTAACGACCAGCTGGGTACACAACTTCTGCCTTTGTTTGCCACACATGACAGTCGAGTGAATCTTTTGTAAAACAAAAATTCGAGGATGCCCAACATGTCACTGCAGTCATCATTATTTAATGTTTACAAGCCTGAAGGCTCGTCTGACCTATAATGACAATAAACTACAACTTTAAGTCAGTTAATGTATCTCGAACATCTATGGCTGCCTGAGCCATACCGACTCAAATCAGGTAATGGCAGCATACGTACAAGCCTGATTGGCATACTGACCCAGGTAACAGCAATGTATGAGGAACAGGAGGTTTTAAGCCTGTATATTCCTCGACTTTAACAGTACATCTCCCTACAACACAGGTGTCGAACTCCAGGCCTCGAGGGCCGGTGTTCTGCAGGTTTTAGATGGAGTTCGACATCCCTGCCCTACAATGTAATATTAAGTAGTTTCTCAATTTGAAATCAAAACGACTTCTGGATGAAAAAGCCCAGGAGCAGATGAAAAACTGCAAATAAGCATCTAGCCAGCTTTCTGACAATTTAGCAAATATACAGCAAATATACCTTTTAGTCAAGAGAACAGAGAAAGGAGAGAAAGGGAAACAAGCACAACTATAGCTAGCAAAATTTTAAACGACAGGTGGCCTAGTAAGAGGCCAACATGAAAAATGTACCGAGTAAGAGTAAGGTTTGGGAGGCTACATGATACTGACTGAAGGTGTAATAAAAATTGAGTATCTGTAGTCTGTAAAGTCTGTAATCTGTCTCAGCTGAGGCAAGCTTTAGATGAGAGGCCTATTTAAAGTGAACCAATGTGGCTTCATCACACTTTTTATTCTTGAACTCTAGTAGAGCAGCATGACTTTGTTCTAGCAGTATCCAGTTCACAGCATGCTTGAGCCTTGGTGGTTCATGGGTTCTTCCTGAGCATCCTAACCAACTTCCTCTCATCTGAGGGTGACTGTTCGAGACTTCCTCCAAACATTAGAAAAGTGGAAATACATTCAAGTAACTTCTACTTGCATAGAATTGTTTGAACTAATGATCTTGGAATCTGTAATTATTTAGAAATGGCTCCAAGAAGCCGTCCCAGCTTGTATAAATCAATATGCACTTCTCCTCCTTAGACCTGCTTTTTAAAGTCATTAAAGATGCATGCCGTACAATCGTTCCAGCTTTGATAAAGAACAGTTCGAAGAAATCATTAAAAGCCCCAACTATGATGACATTCATGCCATCATTCATTCATTCAACTGTAGTTAACTGAGGTTAACTGGTCTCTCAAATGAAAATATTTTAAAGAAAATTGCAGTGTAAAGTGTTTATCCAATCACAATGCCTGTTATTCCATATTGCACTCAGGTATCTAGTTCATCCCAGACCAAGACCTACCTTCCAGGGGAGCCCTCTTGCGGAGAGCGAGCCTCTCCAGGCGGCGGTGTGTTTCAGCCAGGCTGAAGAGGACGCCGTAGGCATACTGTCTGGCAGCACGGAACAGCAGCGAGGCAGGAGGCAGCTCAGAGTTACACTCATCCTCTATACACACTGGCATCTTCATCTCTCCCTGAGGGATGCAGGGGCATAAGGAATAGTTGAGGACAAAATGAATAAGAGAGCAGGATCGAGAGCTCTAAAGAGTCTCATACGCTCTCTCTTAACAAGACAATATCATTTAGACATGGACAAATGCATAGATACTGCTTTTGAATGAAAACAATAACTATTTAACAGTCTTCTGCAGAGTGGTGCCAGCCTAAGAAGGTGTTTTCAAATTTGTTTATGTTGAGTCTTTCAGTCAGCCTTGAATGTATTTCGTTAGTCCAGTTTAACCTGCAGGAGTATCTGAACACTTCCGTAATGCATTTTTCTACCGCGCAAGTTATCAAAGTCATGACTAAAGGAATCTCACTGCCAGAAATCTCACACACACACACACACACACACACACACACACACACACACACACACAAAGTCAAAAGGTTGAAAATGATCAGCAACAGTTTAATAACCTGAAAAAAACTGTATGATAGATTAAAACTACACGCTTAGGTTTCATTTTTGCGGTACACCACATTTTACTACAAAACAATTCATTTAAAATTTCAGAAAACCCTTTTTGCTTTTTGGGTTTTTTTTTTTTTTTTTAAGGAAAATGACATGGGATCGTAGAATATAAATGGCTGGGATGAGGATTAGCACCTACAACATCGAGGCCATACTTCTCAGCCACAAAAGTGTAGCGTGCCAGCTGGAAGTTGGAAATTAATTTCTTCATCAAGTTGTGGCATTGCAGTAACACGGGGATACCGCGGATCGGGGGATAGACAGACGGATTGGTGCAGCATCTGCAGTGTTGCGGATGTTGTAACGGACTGTTGTGGTAAAAAGACAGAGTATAAAGCCATGGCTGTCGTTTCACTGCTCAACATACGTTTCTGCCCTCACCTGTGGACACAAAGTTTAGGTACTAACTGAAAGAATGAGCTCATGGATACAAGGGGCATAAATGAGGCTCCTCCAAAGGGTTGTCTGTGCTGTCTGTGGGCTGAAGCTCCTTTTATCTGACGGGAATGCCTTCTGGCCGCCCTCTAGGTGAGGTGACCCTGGAGCAGACCTAAGACTTGGTGGAGAGATAATGTCTCTTGGCTGGCTTGGGGAAAACTCAGTGTTCTCTCAGAGAAGCTGATGGAGGTGGTTGGAAAGACGGCGGTCTCGGCATCTCTGCTGAGCCTACTTTCCTGCATGTATCCAGGGTTGGTACACATGGCTGAACTTTGATGGATAGATAGGTAGGTGTATTTAAGCATACGATGGCCATTTTTCAGCAACCATCACTTCAGTGTTCAAAAGACACACTGCGCACCTAAGACATACCTATGAGGTTAAAAGAACTTTTTTTCCTCATAACATTTTTCAAACTTATATTAGTACAAAAAACCTTTTCTGCTGATTAAAAAGGAACACATTTCGTTAGTTGAGTGTGTGGCTCATGAGTCTCTGTGGGTTTGATTACAGTCTCTAAACTTCAAACTTTCAGAAACCTGAAAGTGTTTTTGTTCCAGGAAATGAAGGTATTTATGTGGCACAGTGTTTCATACAGGGGTGTGCACTACTCTCTTCACAAAATAACACCAAAAGGCTCCAACCAGAGAAAGAAGTCAGAAATCCCAGCACAAATCTGAGCAAAAACACCAGTACACAAAGGGGGTTTTCCTGCATAGAAGCACTTTTTGACAACCCGCAGAGACTTTTTAAAGAATTGTAATAAAGTGCCAGAAATATAATGTTTATAAATAGATTTCTGCAACATAACACAGCAAAGGTATGGCGTTGTCTTTACTGTACATGGCTTATTCATGTTTATGGTAAATGGCCTGTATTTGTATAGCGCTTTACTAGTTCTTAAGGACCCCAAAGCGCTTTACACATCCAGTCATCCACCCATTCACACTCACATTCACACACTGGTGATGGCAGCTACATTGTAGCCACAGCCACCCTGAGGCCCACTGACAAATGCATAATCAACCAACAAAGGCTCATTGTAAGCCAGGAAAAACCTTAAGAAACAGGTGCCCTCACAGGTCCATTAATGGTAGTTTGTGTCAGGTTGTGAAGGCAGTAGTACACACAGCTGTAAAGTTTTTGGGCATTTGAAGACTAAAATCAAAACTACAAAGGACAGTCCTTCAGAAATTTAACCAACCCAATGCTCTTCTTCAATGAGCAGATTTTCTGCTTTCTAGTTGTGCTGTTAACATTAAAACTCGTATTACATAACACAATGTCTGTGCTGGAGCAAAGGATTGATGGTCTCAGATTCAAGTTTCCTCTCAAAAACAGATTTCGAAAAGGAAATTAAAACCTTAACGAACTGTAAGTAACTAAGAACTGTTTCACCTTGGTCAATATGTGGTAAATCTGGGGGTACATCAGCCCTCTTCTGTGTCTGTGTTCGGCTACACGAAGAACCTCGGCGCTGACCTAAAATTAAAAACAGAAACACGGTGACAGACTTTCCCCAGAAACACCCCACAACTGTGCTGTGAACTCTGGAGTTTGTGTCTGACCTGAGGCAGAGGGGGTGTGGTTATGTCCATGTGACTCCGCGTCGCCATAGATAACAGTGACGGAATGTTTGACCCGCTCCCGTTGCCTTGGGAACCGTCTCCAGAGCCGGAGCCCCCTCTTCCAGTGGGATCCTCCCACCGAGAGGACTTGTCTGTCAAATGGCTGACGAGAGAGGGATTATGAGAATTTTTAAGTTATCCAGAAACTGGCATTCAGGGTCAACACGTGTGTATTGTGGCTAGTTGAGATGTAACAATTAGATTGACGAGGACAAACCAATAGTAAAGCTTAAAATAATGTTTAGAGTAATTTGACTAATAGCCACTTCTGACTATTGTCTCTGCATTTATCAGCACTGGATGTTACACCTGTCATCATTATGACATGGATGTTAAAATACAGAACAAACGGATGCTGTCTGTGACTTTTCAGTAGGTTTGCATGAACATTATTGGCCACCAAGAAAGCAGTGGAGGGTGAACCTGTATTAACAAGGTGTTAATAAGGTTTAAAAATATAACAGCACAACCATTAATATTCTAAAACTAATTATGACTGTGTGGTTTTATTAAATAATTTCATTAATTTTTGTTATTTATTATATGGCATTTTATATTCTACCTGCAACGGGTGTGTTAATGGTCGCTCATATCAAGGATCACCCCTGGTCACCGATCATTTTCACCAAGAAATCTCCCCACAGATGCATTAAATTATTAACAGACTCATAGTAAACTAAATCAGCCTCAATATAATATCATGTTGCATCTCCACATGTGAAAGAGACATTTCTGGATGTGCACTTTAACATTCATTGCTATGTGTGATCAATCAACCATCTTTAAAAGAGAAAACAGGAGGCCAAATCTGGCTGCTGGTTGAATTAATTTCACAGTGCACCTGATGAGACACTCATCTATCACGTTCTTCACTTCATTTTTCTCCCACCCCTTCCCGTGGCATGTGTGATTTTTGGTTTAAAAAACAAAACAAAAAACTCCACAGTGTGTGGAGGGCACAGGTGAGACACGCATACACAAGAACAAACTTCAGTTGTGTGTTTATTCATAAACTAACTAACTAAAAACAACAAAAATACACAGTTTTAGCAGTTCAAATATGTGTCCTCTCATGTTAACCGGCTACTTTAAAATTAGATCATTTGTAGTTGTGTGTCGACGTCTCCTCTAGAAGTGAGATATGGGCCCCACATTGCACATCATAGAGAAAGGGTGGATAGCACAACCATAATGTTTGCACATTCACCTCCTGTGCCAGTCTGCCATGGCTGCACTGGTATGAGTCATAGGTGATGTCACAGGGGAACAACCGGATGATGGAGCAAATCACCCAGCCCTACTACCTATTCCTAGTAGGAGTATGAATCACTGAAATCCTATATAAAAGCCTACTTATGAAAAATAAGATTAGTAATTAAACATTAAATACTCCGACATCGTGTGAAACTGTAATTATTTTATATGTGGTGTCAGTGTCCACTACACGTCAGATTTATGAGCCATGGCTGCCTGGGCTTGCTCAGTCTTGTCTTGATGAACAAGTGCCCTAACAGGTTGGTATGACATGCATATGTCTTCATCCAGAAATGCAAAGCTCTTTGACTTTACTTTTCAGACACATGGTACCAGGGTTGTTTTATACTCCCGAGTAGGGCTGCCACAAACGATTATTTTGATAGTCGACTAGTCACCAATTATTTTTGCGATTAGTCGACTAATCAGATCATGCATCCATTGGACGTAAAACTTACAGCTTATTGCACCAGCATGCATCTGCTCTTATAAAACTATTATTAGCTTACAGCTTTAAGCATTTAAGGTATGTGCTAACTAAAAATAAAGACAAGATGATAGTTTATAAAATTTTAATGAAATTTGCAGATCCTTTCGGTGGAGTTTAATAAACTCAGCCATCTGATCCTTGCTATCTAAAATACAACAGGAGTATATTCTCGAGTATCTCACACTTCTGATAATCAGCTGTCTCCTTGATGTTTATTCAGCTGTGTAAAAACTATAACTTTAATCTCAGCCAAACCGATTTACTCAGGAACAAATCAAACACTGAAAAAAGCCAAACAATAACATTAAGAACTCAAAGAAACGAATAAAACATGTTTAACCTGAGTAGCGAAAGACGGCGGCGGGTTTGAAAACGATTTGCCGTGAGTCCGGTGTTCTCAGCGGCTCTAGTGAGCCTTGCCCCCGGGCTAGCTATCGAGCTAGTGGGTAACAGACGTCTCCGAAAACGTCGGAGCGCTTTTGAAAATATGTGGTGTCTTGATAAACTGAGCAGATATTTGAGGTTTACACAGCTACATTCCCGCCTGAAAATATGTTAAACGTTTATTTGTGACCCAGAAAGAATAATATTAAAACTAACTAGCTGCCGCCATTGTTGGAAACTGAGTAGGGCTGCGCTATGAATTCTGGGATAGGTTGGACCACGAAGTATGCACCCGACCCATCCTTCAAATCTGAGGAAATGAAGGCTGCATTTGTCGGAGCCTTCGAATTTGGACAGTCTTTGTCGTGTCGCTGTAAACAGGAGGATGCGGTTCCTGAATTTGGACACAGCTACGATAGCGGACACTACGTCGTCTTCTTCGGGGTTTAACGGCAGCTGGCATCCTTGTACATGCAGTGCTGCCAACTTCTGTTTCAGGCCGTTATTACACTCTTAAATCCTACTACTTATTCCTGCGTGTTTTTGGAACTTACAAAGCTTGAAACGGCGTGTCGACTATTAAATCAGTCGTCGGCGATTTTGATAGTCGACGTAATCGTGACTAGTCGACTAATCGTGGCAGCTCTAGTCCCGTGTTAGGAACCCACAGAACCACTTCAAACTGTGCAAAAGGAACCTGACATGCTCGAAAAGTGTCTTACTTGGCGTTGCTGTCATTGGGTTCATCTCCATCCGACGATGAGGAAGGAGACGGAGAGGGGCCAGACAGAGTGCCGGTGTGATGATTGGGTAGTCGACTTCCCCCCTGAGTGGAATCATATGGAGCTGACCAGTCAGTGAAGCCCATCTTGCCCGTCAGTGAGTCATTGCAGTCTTGGGATGGTGGCTGTGGGGTCTGGAACAGAGGGGCGGAGCCAGGTCCATATGGAGCATTTTGATAGTGTGGCTTTAACCCCGGGACCTGGGGGGGAGGGAACTGGGAAAGGGGGGATAAAGAAGGAAAATTGGGTTGGTGGAGGAAGAAGCATGGGAAATTGAGTACAAAAGAGGAAGAGTAGGGAAGAGAAGACATCTCAGGGGTGGGAACTGATACTGTCCTATTTTATATCAGATCAAACTGGAAGCATATCATCAAGGCTGGTGGGAGGATACAAGACGGGAAGAAGTGCACCCTCCTCCATCAGTCACTAAACGAGCACATGCCTCAAAGGGATTTCAAAGAGCAAAGGGAAATAAAGCCTAATCCACTATTCTACATGTAGACTCATGTAGACAGAACACAATTACACATCAAAGAGACTTAAGGATTAGCGAGAAAAGGAATCTACCTGATTCTTTCCAGGCTGCATCGGTCCCATGTGACCAGGTGGTCCCCCAAATGGAGCAGGTCCAAACCCAGGTACTGTGCACAGCGAGAGAGAAAAAAAACAGGGATTAAAAACAAATAGACAAATGTGTTTTATTCACAGTGAATAAAAGTACATCGAGCAAGCCAAAAAGATTACATAACAGCAATCCTGTTTTCTGAACTTGCGTCCTGAGCAGCTTGCTACTCACAGATGAAAGAGGAGGGCCCCATGTTAGGTGAGCGGGGTTTGGAGGCAGCTGAGAAATACTCCACAGCTTTCTTGAATCGCTCCACCTTGTCCTCCATACGAGACTGCAAAGGGGGGGCAAAAGCATTATGAAGACTACTGAACCTGCTGGTATTACAGATGGCAGTGAGGATGTTCTAACTGAGGGATCTGCTGGAGAGATTTCCTGCATTACGCACCCAGGAAGGAAAAAACAAGAACAAAAAAACCTTTGGCCTGTTCTCTGTCCGTGGACCAGTGTTTGATGTTTTGGTTTTACAAAGGGGAGGTTGTCACAGCAACATAGCCATAAAGTCAAACCTACTTGGTCACTGGTTTATCCAGTGTAAACAAGATTAAATAACATGCCTAAGGCCTGATTTAGACCTCTGCGGGGACTCTTTGTAGAGCCTACAACCTATAACCTACAACCTATAACCTTTGCAAGTGGCCGACATCTTTGCCTGCATTCATGCTCATGTGTGGCACATATGCATTAATTACCGTTTTCCACTACCATGTCCCTGCTCTTTGTTTTGGTCAGTTCATTTTCCAGGGGCACATGGCTGTGTCCCTCATTTTTTTCTACTTTTTTGTACATCTCCCCACGTCCACTCGAACAGTTTCAAAAATCTTCCAGCAGGAATTTGACAACATTTGCCAGTTCTTATATTGATGCTATGATTATCATTCGTTATAGTGACACGATATCTCACTGAAAAATTTAAAAAATGTTCGAAAAAGTCATAACTACATGGGAGGACTGGTGCTGCAGAAAATTAGCTTTAAATAGAGTAATAAATTACATTTCACCTTTACTGTGAATTAACACAGCCCTCAAACAAAAACTTGTTAAGATTAATACTTCATCTTTTTTTCAGTATAAATGTATACTGTATTGCTTCTAGTTAAAGACCACAAGAGTATGTGATAGATTGGATTAGCCAAGCTGGATTCAATTATCTTGTGGCTTTGAAAACAGAAGAAACTGTCTCAGGTTACCAGATTTATTTAAACTAGGATCTCTGAGCTAGGGCTGTGCGATATGACCAAAATCTTATATCGTCATCTGATATATATCGTTATATCGAACAGCCCTACTCTGAGCTGAACTTCCAACTTCCAGAAAAAAAAAGCCCCTGGTCTCCCGACTCTCTTACTTCAACGAAGCATGGGTTAGAGGCAACTCTGTCAGTGTTTTTTATTTTAAAAAAAAAAAAAAAGAGCCGTAAAGGTTCACTGATTCTCAAATTCTGGATCAATTCCAAAGTTTAAAATAATGTGGCTGACAAAACTTCACTGCATATGTTTTGAGGTACAATACTGACACAATACTCACATGTGTCAGTATTGTACCTCAAATGCCTAGACAGTTTCAAAGTCCTTCAGTCCTGCATTACACAAAAGGTTGGAATATTAATGACACAACAGATGAATGTGCCTAAACCTCCTAAGACCCGAACTCTTCCACAGCATGCATTTTTAATTTCTCTTTGATATTGGGGCTGATTGGGACCCGATGAATGTAAAAACAAAGAATCACCTTTTTTTTTACCCAATTTTTGTTCCTAAGATAAATGAGAGCCACGTATGAGGATATTCATTTTAAATTTTGATGAAACTTGGGCAGTAAAATGTCCTCGTGAGTGGATATCAGGCCCTTGTAGAGCAAAATTTAGTATTTTGGTCTAGACAACCCAAAATGTGATGTGCACATATGTGGACACCAGGTCCTAGGAGGTTAACATTTACTGATACGTTGACACGAGTCTATATGGCTGAAGTATTGGTCCTTTTCTGTGTCATTCATTGTTTGCCGCTCTGGTTCCAGATCACTAAGTCATTGTAGCTGGAAGAGAGTCGCCATGTTTACTATAAACTGACCCCATGCAAAGGTTTATCTTTCAATCTCCCCGTCCTCTCTGTGACACTTTGGTTATAACTGAAGACACAAATCTGCTTTTGAAGAAGAAAAAAGGCCCCACATGTACTGTTTAATATCAAACAGGAGAATATACTGCATTTAGAAACCTATACTTTGGTGTGGATTAAACCACGTTAATGCTAGAGTGAGCACATGTATAGACTCAGAGTTTAATGTGAGATTCGTTCAAATTAAAGAGCAATAAGTTATACGTACATCGTTATCAGAATCTAGTTTGCTGCTGGATTCAGGAAAAAATACAAATAAAGTCGCTTCTTACTGAACTCTGTGATTATTCCAGCTCAAGAAAAATGTTCAGCTTTACATACTTTAACTGCAAAGATAAACTGAACATGTTATAACAAGGATGGCAAACTCTGTTTTACCAAAGGCTATGTGGTTTATTGATAAGTTGCTTAATATGAGATGGGATGGACGCGGTTTTTCCAATAACCCAGTTTGGGCCATGGTGTAATGGCAAGAATTTAGACATAAGCCACACAGTAAGTAACAGCAGCACACTGCTGTGGTCATGGCAGGTCAAAGTAACTTTTTTCTAAAGGTTTATAACATTTTTTTTAACCTTTATTAATGGCTGAATCCAGCGTGTCGCTTTCCATCAAATGGCTGAATAATTACCATTTAACTTTGTATTATGGACACAGGAGAAGATAAGAACAATTACCTATACTTTTACATCTTCCCCCAGAAAATTACGTGTAGTGTAACCCTCGGTTTACTTAAAGGAAATTTATACTTCCATGTTCCACTCTACAGTAAAATGGCTGTTGATTGGTTCCTAGTTACAGGGGGGACAACTGTCATCTCTACTCTACATAATTATCCCATAGATGCCATTTTATTTTTTTGGTCCCTCATCCTATATCCTTGTAGGTACTTTCCTGTCCCATTTAGTAATTACAACTGTAATAACAACTTCACTCAATCACAACATGGTTTTTCCAACGTATCAGTTTATTTGGCAGCCCTAAACCATTTTGACGTCACATTTCATCAAAGTCAGAAGCCTTAAGTACTTGAGTTTAACATGCATCTTTGCTTCACAGATGGACAAAAACAACAAAGATGCACTGGTTTATTTTGGGTATTTTAGGTTTGCCTCAACTTTGTGCGAGTCACTCACCCTCACAAAACCTGGAAGGCCTGTTTTGGGCCATGAAAACAAAGTACAGAATGGCTTCTTGTATGTGTTGTCAAGTAAATGCACCATCTTCACCGTTCAGCTTTTTTTTGCTGTGTGAAACAGTGGAAAAACACATGCACTCTAGCAGCGCAGCTCAACTGATCATCTAAACTAACCACAGTGGAAAAACCCTATTAGTCAAAGAGCCATATAGTTTATAAACATGTTCAGTAAACTACGACTTAACTCCTACCATAACTTTCCTTTTACAGAAGACATCAAACTCCACACGCCACCCAATTATAGATTTAAATGTTTATGTCCTTTAGACATGAACAACACAGCAGAAACCACTTCCCGAGGCGACACCGGGGACTAGCTAACCCCGTGCAGCACAGATTTATATCGGATAAGCAGAAGGCTACAGTTTAGCACTGATGTGTGAGGAAGTACAGTTGCTGACTCAGGCCTTGTGTCAACAGTAATAACCTATTTAACTGTCAACAAAAATCTGATATGTAAAGTCAAACCTCGGCTAAAAGCATGTTCACATTGTTCTTTTCTTTTCATGTAAATCTTATTTAAAGACATTTTAATTCACCCGGCAGGATGTCTGTCTCCGAGCAGTCGGTAAAAAAAACATCAGTGACACACATGACCTACCTGTGACTGTTTGAAGACATCTCTGGCAATGGCGTCGAGGTTTCCCAGGTCTTTGATGGAGGCGACGTACTCTGAGACGGCTTTGATCACCACCTCACAGGGCGGCAGCACCAACTGATGGGCTCGCACCTGACAGCAAGAGAACAAAGGCTCTCATGTACTTATATCGAGCTACGAGGACAGCGGCACTGTGAAACAGCCGCATGACAGACAGGTAGATTTTTTTAAGAAGCATTGCACAGAAGCGGCATTCATATTTCTCACTTTTTTTATTAGATATTTATTATACACTTTTTTCTAAGCAATTTTGGTGATATATATATATATATATATATATATAAATAAAAACACCAAATACTGCAATGTTCACCAATAAAAAAAATGACACTTTTGACAAAAGAATGATTCCAATAACAGAATAATCGCGTTACAGATATGTGGCTTTTGGCATGTGCCCATAGGAACGTTAAATTAATAACGCCTGTTCCTCGCTCTGAGGGAGAGGCTGGTTAGGTTTATCAGTTTGTTTGCAGGGTAACTAAAACTTTATGGAGAGCTTTGCATGAAATTTGTGCCACTGGTGGGGCTTGGCCACACTTGAAGAAGAAAGAAATGATTAACCAATAGCATTTCGTGGCAGGTAGTAAATATTAGAAACTCTAAACTATTGATCGACTTCTGGATAGGAATTTTCCACTTTAACTATCATCTGACCCATTTCAAAGGTAGTCATTTGTGTCCATGTACACGAAAGTGTATTTTCCTTTTTTTTAAAGAGTGAAAATGTCAACGTTCAAGTCTCATAGGTCACAGATTATTATCTACATTTTTTTTAATATGCTATTAATTTTATGATTAATTTGCATGGAAAACCACTTTGCTAGAGCCAGGCATTCAAAATGACTGAGATTTAGGTATAGAAAAACAACTTAGGTTTAGTCATAAAGACTCACTGTCAAGTTTAGAAGCTAAACTATGTGATTAGGGTCAGACATCATAAACAGGTTAGGTCTAGTCTTTAAAAGATCATGGATAGTGGGAAACAACGCAGTTGCCACTTTTTTCAAAGCTTCATTTCTTTGGTTAGCATACAGACAGATTCCACACGTAAGCCTTTGGACTGTGGGAAGAAGCCAGATTATCTGGAGAGAAAGATCCCAAAACCTTCTTGCCACAGTGCTAATAACAGTCCCACCTACTGAAACACTTTACTTACAAAGTCATGTTGACTGTCACAAAAAACCAAAAGAAAACGACAACAACAACAACAAAAACATGACAACTCATGATCATGAGCACGATCTATGTTCACAAGTATTTCACAAGTTATTTACTTTGTGAAATACTTGTGAACATAGATTTTTGGATTAACCTACATATGTAGATTAACCTCTGAAGTCAATCTACATATGTGTACAAGAATTACCATTCCTGCCAAGGAATGTTAAGATAAGTAATCACTAATGGAAATCAATAAATGTTAAAAATGAAAAAACAAATTAAACTGGGAGATCTGCTTTCCAGTTCCAATATGATACCAGTGGTGTTGCTTCAGGTATTTGCTGATAACAAGTACTCATCCAATACCAGCGCTAAATTAATAAGCCTTATCCCTCAATGCTAGGAAAGGACTTGTGATCATCATTTTATGTGTCAGGAAACATACAATATGCAAAAGTAATGGACTGATATTTGCTGATAAATTAATGCATATCAAAGGAAAAAGCGTAAAAGAAAGATAACTGTATTTATGTAAGGGAACTAATTCATTAAAATTTGTTGTTTACCGGTCACACCGGCTTCTTCTTTCCCTGCTCTCAGTTTCAATGTGGGTACACCTCTTCATATACGAGAAACAAAACAGATGAGAGGAAGATGAAGTGAAGATAAGAAGCGAGTAGAAAACAACTTACGTCACCCTTAAAACAGAAAATCTTCTGAACAAGTGTTAAACTTATTGGAACTATAGAAAGAGGGTGAAAAGTCAACAAGGATAGCGTAGTCATCTGAGCCTTTCAATTATCGTCAGCAAAACTTGTTAGTGCAGGTATTCCATACCTGCTGCAAACTGCTAACCTTTATGTTAGCACTATTTCTAGCAACTGGTGCACTGCTGCTGAGGCATGGCAAAGTAAACACAGACCAATGTAGAATTAAAATATTGACTGCTTGCCACCAGTACACAACTTCTTGAGTCACTGTCAGAATAACGTTTTTTAAGGTTCATCTGCCTCTGCATTTGTCTGGCTAGCAAAGATAAACACTACCTGTATTTTGGGGGTTTTCAGCCATAGCTGACTGTGTGCTTTAAAGGGATGGATGGAATTCACAGTATTCACATAATCATATCAAAAGAAGAAGAACATTTCATTTGGATGTTAACCTTTGACAATATCACTGAGGGGCAAGGCCTCTCTCGTTTAACGTTATCTGATCCCTGATCACTTATATCCACTGAAGCAGAACTGACTGTAAAATATTTATAAGAATCCAGGTTGTCTGCTTTTTACAGGATAATGGGAACTAGGCTATACTGTTATATCTTGGCACAAAGAGTCACTTTTGAAAGTAAAATTAAATTTTAATGGAGCCACCAGGAGCCCCGACCTTTGACAACACTTACCACACACTGTGTGATGGGAAATTATAAGCAAGCTAGATGGAAAGTAAGACAAGACTGGCAAGTGAACCAGCAGCGTACTGCATTACTTCAAGCTTGAAAACACAATCATATAAATGCCGTGTCAGCGTAAACCACATCAACCACATTGTGCAGAGTGTGGACGAAGGCTGCAAATGCTAGCAGTGCTACACACCACACTCGGCACTCTGTAAGCCATTAATTGTAATACAACGTCGGTCTGCCACTGTTGCGGGCACAACATCAAAGTTCAAAACAGCCAGTGGAGGAAACGTTGACGGCATGTGACTTAAGCACTGCACACGGACCACGGGACCAAAGGCCTTTCTTGGAAACAGGTTCCATCCGGTGATACACTTCAGGTGTATTTTAACAGTCAGCTTGTTGGAACACGTCAATACATTTATTTATTATCATTTGCTACAAACGTTTCACAATAAAAGCCTTCTAAAGATCAACAGATGGATCTTGTTGTAAAAGGGGGAAAAAAAACGTAGTGAGAAAAATAAGACACCCCTCTGTAAAATGTGTCATATATAAATAGTCTAGTTCTGTTTAAAAATGAGGTAAGGGTTCATGTGACATTACATACTGTTACAGCTAATATTTTCTTTTATTCGCAGAGAACTATGGACAAAGAAGCAATCGTTACCTTGAGGGAGGCTAGTGGGTGTTCTGGTCCCAGCAGACTCCAGTGGAAGGCAGCCAGGTCTTCATCAGGCAAAATATGATTTCCTGAAAGAAAGAAGTTCTTAACTTTTTGTTGCATCAGTGAACAAAAACAACAGACAAAGGCAGCTGTCAATTATAACCCACGTACAGGGGTGTGTCCTTCAAAAGTAAGAAGTGTGGTATATAGTTTGGATTTTGAGGTGTGTGCCATTGTATCGCTCCTCACCCAGCAGAGCAGCAAAGCAGGGCAGGTGCTGTGTCTTGAGCCCGAGCTGCCTGGCGGCCTCGGACAGCAGATACTGGTGTGTGGTCAGGTTCTTTCCGTTCCAGCTCAGTTTGAGCGCATGCGAGGAAAAGTAGGCGGGGACGTTGCAGAGGGCAAACTCTGAATCCTGAGCGATCAGGCCTGCAAATCCATAGTCCCTGTAGAGAGAGAGCACTTCCTGGTGGTGGTCCTCCAAAGTCTGTACAACCTGTAGATACAGAGAAGACAAATTTGTTAGCTCTATGAAATTTCGCACCACCTCTTTCATATTTAAAGTATAAATGGATTAAGAAAAAGTTATTTATTGCTTATCTGATCACTGTTTAAGTTGCTTTTTTTAAGAATAAGAGACAAGTTTTACTCAAACTTAGCTTCTCTAATTTGTGGCTTTTTGATATCAGCGTTTCCCCACACAGAGCCTGGAGGTTTATTTTATTAGCTTTCTATACAAGTTTACAAGTGGAGAGCCTGCACACTCTTATTTTGAAAGCTGAGCTGCTGCTAAAGTCTGTATACAAGTGACGGAGCTAGCCATTGGGATGTTCCGCCTCAACCTGAGACTTTTTGTTTGAATAGCTATCTGTCTGAGAAAACATGGAACGCTGCTCAACCATAGGGTAGCACAGCTGTCAATCACACAGCACGCCTTACCCTGCTTTACCCCAACTGGTTTTTGTTGTTTTACACCAATGGGGACCATAATTTACAAAATAAACTTTCTGCTGCATTCATTAAAACTTGAAGCCAGTGGTTGAGACTATAAATGGTCTAATGAGATCACAGAGTAAGAGAGCTGAAGGGAGGTTTAGATAGACTGGCCTGTAGAATTTGGTCACCCACACCACTGTAGTACAAGACAGCTGGTTGGTGAATCACGATGGGCATTTTTCAGTACTCCCCAATGTTTTATAGACCAGATGACATTTCAGAGGAATTGAAATTATTATTATTATTATTTTTTTGAAGTGGACTGCCAATGGAGAAAATGACAGTCTCTCGTGCAAGCTGTCACTACAACATACTTCGTTTATGATGAATGTAGATGACAGACTAAAACTGGCAGTGACACATTTTATGCCAACACAATACTTCTGCTCCACGGTCCATGACAAGGTTTCATAAAACACTGTTTGCTCGCAAAATTACATCTGAGGCAAAACTGTGCTGTACCGGTTACTTTCAGTGTCCTGGTGATGCATCTTTCTCAACATATGGCCGCGTAATATTCTTCATAGTTTGTGGATGAGGGGCCATATTATTGTCAGATAGAGGGAGAGCACTACGGCCTCAGGATTATGTGGAATCTTTTTAATCGATGTCAGCGTTGATCAATGTGAAAACTAAATAATTAGACAAAGCGTTGTTATTAAAATTCCATTTAATGAGCTTGTAATCAAATATCTTTTTTTCAAATGAATGCAATATGGGACAAAGATGGCAAGGATGATTGAGACTTGTTTAAACTATTTCATCTCTCTGTATCACTAAAACCAAGCAAACATTAAGAATCAATCCATTTTAAGATCTTAAATAAAACTGAAGAATGAACAATGTCAAAACGATGCAAGACATTTATTATCATTGGGAAATACTAATTAGTTAAATAACTATTCAACAGTGCTAGAACCACTACAACACGATGATGCTTTTAAATCAACTAACAGTGAAGCAGACTTTAAAAGCCTAGCAGCGATATAACAATGACATTCAGCGACTGGTAGCAACAACAGTTAGCGACAGGGAGAGTGGGCGTGTACGAAGTGAAAATTCAAAATTTTGAGGTGGATAATTGAAGTGACTACCAATGGGAGCAAAGAAAACCACTGATTGATGTATAAAAAAAACTTTAGGGTGACAACTACCGTGTTAAAAAAAATGCTGTAAGCTCAATTATATAACGCAGTTTACTCAACATTAGTTTACTGAACTTAAAATAAATCTTTAAGTCTTTTTTTCCCCCATCAACTACATATACTGTATATCTAATTCAACGCACAAATCAGTGGGTTAAAAACGTGAAAGTGGTGGAGCATGCAGATGCAAATAAATTTGACTATAAAGCCCAGCGATTCTGAGAAAAAGGCTGCGCTAACTGTGATGATCCTTCCACCTTCGTTTGTTGGATCCTTTTATGACTTTTACTGTTTTGAGATGGCTTGTAAACCAAGGACACTCTTTAAGCCCACTCAAATCGAGCTGAACAAAATGATGATTGCGTTTGTGCTTCAAAGGAGAGGATGAATGCACGATGCTATGAATAAAAGGTCTGCAACCCAAGACAAAATGAGTGACATATTTATAATGGCCTGTGGCTAAATCCAAAGTAAAATGTTAATTAAAATTTCAATAATCAAGCCACAACATGCAGTAAACACTAGAGACGTGCATAACTAGTTGGCCAGATATTTAAACGTTGCCACCCTCACTAGTCAGCATTAGAAACTAGTTGGTTACACATTGATGTGTAGCAGTTGGTTGTCAGATGTTATTATAGCCATGGCAATAGGCTGTATTTAGTCCCAAATATTTTGAGTGTTTTTGGGGGGGATTAGTCTTATTTTTTCCCCCTGCATATTTAAACATTCAATAAATTAGTTGCCAGGGACATCCTCAGTAAATACCTGACTATTACAACTATTTAAATTTATTTAATTTTATTAAGACTAAGAGTAGGTTATTAATTGTTTTGGTTGTATGGTCTTTGTTTTATTTAAGTTAACGTTTATAACAATGTTAAAACGTTAAACGATCGTGGCTCAAGAGTTGGGAGTTCGCCTTGTAATCGGAAGGTTCGAGCCCCGGCTTGGACAGTCTCGGTTGTTGTGTCCTTGGGCAAGACACTTCACCCGTTGCCTACTGGCTGCATGCCAAATGTCCTTGGGCAAGATACTAACCCCGTGTTTGCCGGTGGGTGGTGGGCCCGGTGGCTCCAGTGTCCGGCAGCCTCGCCGGACACTGTCAGTGCGCCTCAGGGTGGCTGTGGCTACAATGTAGCTTGCCATCACCAGTGTGTGAATGTGTGTGTGAATGGGTGGATGACTGGATGTAGCGTAAAGCGCTTTGGGGTCCTTAGGGACTAAGTAAAGCGCTATACAAATGCAGGCCATTTACCATTTACCAATTTGTTTCTGACAGAAGAATGAATGCCCACTTAAATAGAAATTAGACATCAATAATGGCATAATATACAATAAAACAGCTAGAATCTTAAAAAATATTGTGATGTGAATTTTTAGCCACACAGTCCAGTACTAAAAGTAAACAATTAGTTTCAGCTTTAAGTCTGTATATCTAGAATTAATACCAGAGTTTAATGACCAGAAAAATGCATGTGTAGCAACTCCAAAAACACTAAACTGGCATCCAGTACACATAGAAGTAAGCAGAGACCCAAAGCTGCACAGATAAGAACAACAGTAACTAAAGTGAAGGTGCAATGCAAGCAGAGGTGAAATACTTGGAGCTGCAGAAGCAACACAGTTTCTCAGAATACAGGTAGGGCAAAACAAGCGTGCACACATGGGAACTGTGAGTAACGATGCTGTACGAGCACATGAAGCATCAGAGTGTGTTGTGTTGTAATGTAGGTGGGATTTTTCTATTCTAACAAGTATCCTCTCAGGAAACAATATGGCACTGTGTTTTTGTTATACTAGCTATGGGAATGTAGATCAAAGGCAAAACATGACAGCAGGCTACATAAAGCTGACAAGAGGGGACTGCAAGAGGCACATTTATGGCTCTCTAGGATGCATTATATATTTCACATTACTGTATGATAACAGCAGAGTGGTTCAGTGCATTTATAAAGCACATTACTGATGTTTCAAAAGGTCAGATGCACAAAAATATTTTATTTCTAGTATTCTGTATAGGGCTGTGCGATATGACCAAAATCTCATATCCCGATATAGTAATTCTATCGTCTGACGACGATATAAATCACAAAAATGTAACATTTTCTGTAAATTCTGTGAATCTCGGGCAGCTCGACTTGCGGGAAGCGTTTCCTGCATGAAACTATACATTTTTAGACATAAGTTGTAACGGCCGCCGTTTTCTTTGTGAGTATTTATTACATGGCGTGCTGCGGGGAAAAGCCTGTTCTAACATTTGAGTCTAAGGTTTATTTTTTAGTACCTGGCGGCTCTTTTTTACTTCTCATCCGTAAATAATCTGCTCTTTCACGTGATTCAGTTTATTTTGAAAAGTCTCAACAGGGTCTTGAGCTTTATTGTGAAACGCTTATGTGGAACATAAACAAGCGGACACGCGATGGTGTTACCGTCGTTGTTGCTAACCACAACGCATAAAAACAGGCGCTTGTCCGTCCGTAGTGTGGTTATATTAAATATAAGAGAAAGAGAGAACTTTAAGAAATTAATATAGCCACTACAGTGACCATCAAGACGATGACAAAATATTGCCTCAAACAGTTTATTTTGCAACACCACGAAACAAACGATAGCGTAAAATTAAACTATAGATGTTTTTATATCGTCATCCGATATATATCGTTATATCAAACAGCCCTATTCTGAAACACCAACTAACTCAAATGTACAAATTAATTCAAAGTATACTACTGTAAGTCACCTGGGAACTATAAATAGTGCTCCCAACTCAGCAGCTGCTCAACAATGTATAAAAAAGTTCACAGAGTTCATGTTATGTAATATATAGGCTAGACAGGTCATGCCTTAAAGTACATGTTTCCAATCTCCACTTTGGAATGACAAATTCTTTTAGACCAAGCATTTATCACTATATCTGAATTTATCTTGGACAGACTTCACCTCCTTCCAGACCGTTACAAACACGGGGCACCAGCTGCAAGGACCAGCTAGAGATACCAATTGCTAAATTCTTTAAAATCATGACAGTTGTGTGAGACATATCAAATCTACAGAAATCTTGCTGAAACACATCTAAGCTATTAAAATCCAGGCGTTTAGAAATCCCTTTTTGGACAGGTATTTTAGGCACCTCTGAGCAGGTGACTTCTTCAAACAAAAGACAATAAAGTAGCCTGTTATCAGGCAGAATTATCAGCCGTTTACACTGACTTTCATGTTTAAACACGAGGAAAAACAAAAAAGGACTGACAAGAACTGAATCACATCTATGGGAAGGGAAAATAAACGAGAATAATTATTTGAAAGTAATGCAGAATTCCCCAAGAGATTTGCTGAATTATACCCCAGATATTAATAGCATAAAGTGAAAGGTGAAAATTGGCCTAAAAATTCACCATGAATAAGTGCAACTAAATGCCTTGTGCTTAAGCCTGCATCCATGATTGACAAGTACTAGGGGCTCAAGGAACAACTGGAGCAGATGCGGAAGGTGAGGAAGGTCCCAGCAGATCCCAAACGCATGTGAGTGCAAAGAAGAGCAGCTACACACACAAAAAAAAAAAAAAAAATCACAGAAGTAGCTCACTAGCTCACTTTCAGACAGAATTATCAAGTATTTACACTCTGATTCTCTGTTTGGTCCACAAGCACAAAAGAGACCAGAAATGAAAGCAATACAGAATGCATGAGTGAGACTATACACTACATCCCAGATATATGCAGCATAAAATGATGCAGAAAAGATGGGAGGGGGGGGGGAAAAAAATCACAAAGAGTGCACTAGAATAAGTGTCTGGCGCTCCAGATCTAGTGGGTTGGAAAAAAAAAACCTATGCTCAGGATTTTGGGACTACCAGTGGCCAAAAGAACAGGCGTGTCTGAAGCATTGGAGGCTGTAACCCCACAAAGCATATGACAGCAAAGAGCAGCAGCCACATGCAACAGCTAGAAACTGACATCTGGCCAAAAAACACCGCTTTAACAGAAAGTGATTGCATTTGTGGGAAAAAAAAAACAACGGAAAAAAAAACGAAAAAATAAGCATAATAATAAGACTCAGGTGTTCACTCGTTTCTGTGGTTAGAGCTGCTTCTTGCACTTGCCACAAACCAGGGAAGGCGTTAAAACGGTTGTGAATGATGCAAACAGCTAAATGGGCCTGCTGCACCTAACAAGTGTAAAATGAGCGGCACGCCGTATGACACGACCACAATAAAACAACTTTCACACAGCCATGATTGATCTGCTTACCCGCACTCGGAAGCGGAACATGGCGAGGCGGACACAGTGGCTGAGGCAGGCCGGGGGCAGGAACCATGCCCGGGGAGGCGGGGTGGCCTTGCTGCCGACGTGGTTGACTATCAGCTGCGCCGTCTGTCGCTGGCTCTGAGCTCGCCGCGCCCACTCGGGCCAGCGCTCCTTCCCCAGGGTGCCGTTGAAAACCACGACCAGCTCCAGGCCACCCTGGTACAAGCAGGCCTGCGACAGGGCGGCCAGGTATCCCAGCATGGCGTTCCACTCGCCTCCGCACACCCAGTCCGTCTGGTAGCCGCCGTACAGGCGCTGCAGGCCGGAATCAGCGTCGATTAGGATCCTGGCAGGCGGGGGCGGGGGAGGCATGGGCCCGGGGTGATGTGGGTGGTGGTGTGGGTGATGATGGTGAGGGGGCTGGCGGGCCGCGGTCCGGGCAAGCTTGAGGAGGTCCACGGGGACCGTGGCCCCGGGACACCGCTTCTCTAAATACTCCTGAAAGCCCTGCACTCCCATGACGGTGTTATTGAGCCGGTGCGTCTGACCGGGAGCGGGCTCTGAATACGTTCTGTACGCCGTGTTTGTAACGTGTTGTGGGGCGAGACTTGCAGCTAGCTGTGCACTCCGGGGCAAAGCTAACTGGTCTCCGATGTAGTGACAAAACTGTAGTTTAGTTAACCCAGCAAACCAACTTGGCTGTCACGCTGACTAGCAAAACGAGTCACCATGCACCGCCGCACGACTGTTTCTGGTAGTTATCCCAAGATATCGAATTGCCAATTTGTTTGTTTTATTTCTTTACTTTAGTTTTGGTCGAGGGTGCTCAGTTTAGTGTCCATCCCTGTGGATTTTTGGTGAGATGCCAGAAAAGGCCAGTGTAGCTACCTACCTACCAGAAAAAGTTTAACACGTTTCCTGCTCCCATAATTTGGCTTTAACAAGACCAGCTTCCAAAATGCAGTCGGTAGCGAGTAACAGAAATGCAGCGAGATGGTGGACCGAGAAATGTCTGCAAAATAAAAAAAAATCCCGCTGTTTTGTGCACATGAAACAGATGCAATACTGCGCTTTTTTTAGTTAGCAAACCCACAGGCTGGATGGCCAGTTCGCGGACATGATGGTGAACCGAGCAGCTTGAAAACCGTTGTTTTTTTTTTAAACCTGACAGATGAAAATGTTCACATTTATTCGCCACTGGCTCTGGGAAATTTCAGCACGTGTGCTACACCAGCGTGCAGGATAACAGGTGTCAGAATATTAATTTAACACAAACTAATGAGCAGCGTGCCTGGCTGCACTAATATTTGCTAACTGTGGCTAAGCTGCTAGCTGCTGCTGGCAGGGTCCCCGGCGTGATTTGACGCGTCAACTCCCGAAGACAAGTCCGGGGCGGACACGACGCGGAATGAGATGGATGTTTGACGAAAGAAAAGAAAAGTAACTAAAAGAAAATAAAAATAAAAGCCCGATGGTGCCTCCCTCGCTTTCTTCCACGCTCACGGCTTCATGTTGCAGAGGGGAACGTTACTTCCAAGCGACGTCAGCCATCTTGCGACTTCCTCGCGGCCCAGTGGAGTGGGAGGGAAGGCGGAGGGAGGCGAGGAAGGAGGCGCGGCAGAGCGCGGGGAGCGACGGGAACAGTAGTCTGACTATGGCAGAGCGTCCGTCCAGAACACGAGCGTCGGCAACGAGAAAAAACTACAACTGCCAGCGACGGTTTGTACGAGGATAAAAAAGCTGGAGAGCAGCAGTTCTCAAAGTGAACCCAGTAAATACGTGATTATTTGACAGTTCAACGTGCAGACCGTTATTTTTTCTTTAAAATAAAAGCATAAAAGCAAGCAAAATGTATCGAAATATAGCTGGTGTTTTATATTTCTGATATTGACGCACCAATCTCTACCGTGTTGAGATTTTTTTAAGCATTTTATTCAAGGAATCAAAGTAGTATAAAGTGGTCAACTACTAAATTGATATAAATTGGTGGTAGTTTAAAATGAATCAGTTACTTAAGCAGTGTAACAGGTAGAATGGCGCTGTCCCACCTGTGCCGAAAGTCTTTGAGTTTGTCGCCTCCTTGTGGCAGCATATATCAAATGTGCTGTTGAGAAAAATCAACGTACTGTATTAAAAAAAATCATCTTAATAAATCTTTATACAAGCTATATGAAAAGAAAGAGGAAATGAAGAATGAAATGAAACCAGGTGGCGTGGTCTGAGGGGAAATCAGAATAGCTCTGGACTCCACCTGTGGGAACACTGTGCAAGATTTTCAAGCTGATTTCTGGATATGACTAGAAGAGTAACTGAGCCTGTGGTGACTCAGGAGGGATGTATTAAATGAGAAATTCTGAAAGCCTAACATTGCTAACGTCTGCCCAGCAGAGACTCACCTGCTCTCTCACGTTAATGGTTTATTTCACTTTAGACTCTGTACATTGAGCCACAGTAATTCTGTGAAAAAGGATATTTGAGACACTGTTATTTACTTCTACCATTCAGTAACATTAAGCATGTTTAGTATTGTATCCAGACTACTGAAGTTTTGCAAACATGTGACTGCTAGATGGAGGATTGTGTGAATAAGGCCCTGGTCAAGCTTAGAGACTGCTCTGGTCATCTGGCTACCACCATTTATGAAAGAAAAATGATTATTCCTTGACTGGTTGGAAGGTTGCTGGGAGAATGACTACCAAGGCCAGGAAGATCGTGAAGGACCTCAGCCATCCCAACAACAGACTGTTCTCTCTGTTGAGGTCAGGAAAGTGATTCCGCTCCCTGAAGACCAACACAGAGAGACTGAGGAGGAGCTTCTTCCTGCAGGCGATACGGTCTCTCAATCACACCACCACACAGTACTGACCCACACATACAGTTCTTACACACACACTGGACATTCTGGACATTGTTTTCACTTCATCACTTAAATCACTTTAAGCATATTTGCACTGCACAAGACATAATGTGGATTGCACAACACTGGACATTATATTCTTCATTTCCAGTTAATACTTGTACAGCTGCTGTTATTGTGTATTTATTTATTTATATTTCTTCATACATTCTTATATAGTTCTATATTGTGTATTTTGTTGTACAGTTATTTTATTTTCAACTTTAATTTATATATTTTATCTTATTCTTTCCCAGTTAAATTTACCCTTCATTCTAATTTGTGTTGTGCAGTTATTTCATTTTTAACCTTAATTTATATTTTATTCCTTCCTAGTTAAATTTACCCTTTTTAATTTTTCATATTTATTTCCTATCTTATTCATAGCCTTTTCCTTTTTTGTTTTCTTTAGGTCACGAGCAGTTGTCCAAGCATTTCACTACATATCGTACTGTGTATGACTGTGTACGCGACAAATAAAATTTGAATTTGAATTTGAATTTACCAAAGCCCCAGTCACGTTGGCTAGAGATCAATCAGTAGGCCATATTTTTCCTTAGAGACCCACCTGTTGCCAAGGAAAAACCTTGTTGCATGTAATTTGCATGGAAGTGATTTTTCTCCTAACATTGCAGCTACGCACTTGAAATTGTGAAAAGTGTGATAGAAACCAGAAACAGGGACCATTCCCCTTTGAACTCAGTGTTACACCTTTTGAAATATGTTGGCGGCTCCGAGGCACAGCTTTTACTTCAAAGGCGAACATTAAAGGCCCATCTATTCACATTTTACTACCATTGGAGTAGTTAGCGAGTGTTTGCAGAAAAAATAACAAACTAAAGGCGACTGTGTAAATCAAAGCAGTCACTGGCATGTTTTTGGTGCTACACTTTATTTACTGCGGATTTTAATACCAAGAAGTTATACGTGCGTTTCCGTAGCAACCGGTGATCATATTATTTCCAGCGTTACTGAGGAGGACTTCACGTTAAATTGTTACAACAAATTTTTGATATGTTTCAGGTGCTTTTGGTTGGTTTTTAATTCTCATTTCTGAGGTTGTTTGTTTTGTTTTTTTTTATTTCCCATGAGCCTCCGCCCTCCACACCCTGATTCTTGTAATCCCCGTGGCACCCCATTTAAAACTCCTGGAACCGCCCCTGGCTGTAGGGCTCAAATAAAACCTACGCCCATTACAGACAGATTAACGTGATCGCGCAGCTCGTCCCCGTGTCTTCCTGTCTTCAGAGGGAAGAGTAGACATGACGACCCGCTCCGTGCGCGCTCTGTCCGGAACCCTGAAACCGCTCTTCAGCCCCCGGTCACCGCAGGTAGGAGCCGCCCGGTGCGGTTACCTGTTGAACACACCGCGTTTTGGATGGTGCAGCAGGTGGTTAGTTAGCTGCCGCTGTCCGTTCAGCACCACGGGTCAGCGTCCGGTTCGCGTCAGCGTTTTACGTAATTCTGCAGTTTGAGGATGTTTCCTGCTGCCATCTGTAAGCCTACACTCTTCCCTGCAAAGTCATGCATTATTCAGAGACTACACCTCTGCGCCGAGTAAAGACAGACAAGTTCACTTCTCCGGCGGAAAAGCTGTCTGTTGTCCACGAGTCCGTGTTTTGCTTGTGTTGTTACTGAGACGCAGTTTTAAGAAGTTTCGAGCAGGTATAACTACACAAATATGCGCCTCGCTGTTGTGTAGACATGCCAGTCTGCACAAAAACAAACGCAACAAGCCTCATCAGGCTCGCTCTTATGTTTAAGCTGCCAATCCGGAAGGCATTTCCTGTTTTGTTTTTCATTGTATTTGAGCTCAAAGAAAAACCTCAGTTTTCCACGCTCGTCGACTCTGCTGTGCTTACATGTTCATTAAAGTCTGCAGGTCATGGTGGAAATGCATGTTTTTATTTATTTATGATTCAAACAGCCTGTCGAGACCCATAATTACGTTTGTTTTCACTCCTGTGTGGTAATACTAGCATCACAACATAGAAAACATCGACTAATTATTACTTTATTGCACTTGTAATACTTCCACCAACCCTCCTAAAAATATTCAAACAACTGAAATGTTTCTTTTGTTTCATCTGCATGCGGATGAGTAGTGTCAAACATATGGGCCGGGGTCCAGAACAGGTCCATCAAACACGTCCAGATCAGCCGTCTTTATCTAAATAACAGCATGACAGTGGAGCTGCTAGGAGTAGAGGCAGCCAGCCTCCAACATGTCTGTGACCTGGTTTTATAGCTAAAAACAAATAAATAAAATGAAATAAATAATTTTTATAAAAGTCAAAAACTATATATATGTAGATATAATTGTTTTGTTTTTTTAGAACATTTTAAAATTAGAATACTATTTATTATGAAGGTAATTTGGTCATTTTAAGAGGACTTGTCTGCGTGTAACCTCTGTTTTTTCTCTGCATCTTTAGGGTTATGTTGTGGCAGCCTGTCATCAGACTCACAAGTCAACTTACACTGTAAGTTGTGTTATATATGAGGATTTATTTTATAGCTTCTATAATTTCTGTAAGCTCGGTCTTTAGGAGACCTTCTGACTCTCCACCCCTCACCATGATTCACATTTAGAGTCGATTCTAGAAGAAAATGTGGTCTCAGCCTCTCCTTTGTCCTATTTTCTCTCCCTGTTTGCTCTGAATCCTTCCTCCCTCCACCCACCCACCCAAGACCATAGTGAGTATGGATGCTTATAAGTGCTTATAAGATTTAGTGTAACAGCTAAAAGAGTGACAGGTCTCTGTAGTTTGTTTAGGGTTGTATCTAAAATGTGTGTGTTTGTGCATTACAGGCTCCACCTGCTCGGTACGGAGGCAGACACACCGTGACTCTCATTCCTGGAGATGGCATCGGACCGGAGCTGGCCAAACACGTGTGTGAGCTATTCCGGTGAGAATTCCCTCATGCACTCACGATTACTCTCTGCAGAATTTCACTGAAACATTCACCACCAGCGTGTTGAAAATTCAAAACTTTTTACAATTTTTAGCACTTCATAAATTTCGTCCAGAGGCTTTTTGCCTGGCTGCCATTGTAAAGGATGTCTGGATAAATAAAGGTTACCCTGACTTCCTGAACCATCCTCGGCTAATGTTTCCTTCTCACAGTATGTGCACATTTTAGACAGAAAGCTGTTCATAGTAACAGCTTTTAAAGTATTTTTTAAAACACAGAAATGTATAAGCAATGAATTTAAGACTTCAGTAGAGTTTAGAGGATTAGATTTGCACCTCATGTCAACTGGGATACGCTCAAGCCTACATCCATCCATCCATGCATTCCCATGTCAGATGAGATGTATAACATCTCTGGTTGATTCTGTGTCTTCAAAGAGAGGAGCTCAGACAATTGAACCATGTCAACTAGCTCCTTTTGACGAGTAATACCAGCAACTCAACTCTGAGCTTCATCTGGATGTCTGACTTCCTCACTATATCTCTAAGGTTGACTCCAGCCAGCACACAGAGGAAACTCTGATGATGCCACACAAATCCGGTCGTCCTCACGCTCCCTCTTTCTTTCACTTCTCAGTAAGATTGTGAGGTCCTGCTCGGAGCAGCCACTCTCCCCAGTCCAGAGGGAGCAGTTTTAGAAAAAGAAGAAGCTTAAGTTGGATAAGCGGTTAAAAACAAATGGGTGACTGATTAGTTCCTTTTGGCTCTTGCTAAAAACATAAACTGATGCAGA